GATTGAGATATCTTTTTAAAAGTATGGTAAACTTTCTTCTGTAAAATCTGGTTCGACTATTGTATGTCTATGATAGGTAGGAAAAGTTATTTGGAATTGATATGATGAAGTTTCTCCTAAGGAAATGAAAATTTGGTTCTTAAAAGCGTTAATTGGTGCATCGGTTTAAGTTATTAATGTTTGTGCGGAACTTTCATCGCTATGCTGTGTTGCTGTCATAGAGTTTATTTGTTGTGGTGGTCTAGATAATGCATCTGCTACCACGTTTGTGCTACCAGGTTTGTATTTAATTTCGTAGTTATATTCTTCTAATATTGATTTCCATCTCTTTAATTTACTATTGGTATTCCTTTGCTAAGTGCATAAGTCAAAGGTTGATGGTCTGTGAAAATTTTTACACTGCTCGGACCATAATTTTTAAAGGTTTTTAAAGCCCATACAATGGCTAAGAGTTCTTTTTCGTTTGTAGCATAGTTTCCTTCTATCTTTGACAATGTCCTTGAGATGTTATCGGTTTATTGTCTTGTTCAAGTACTGCTCCTATTGCGTACTCTGAAGCGTCTGTAGTTAAATGAAATTCTTTTTCGAAGTCAGGATAGTGTAGCATAACATCAGCGGAAATTAGAGAGTTTTTAAATTTACTGAATGCATTAATGGCGTCTTGATTAAGAGTGATTTTAATTTTTGATGAAAGACTTTTGGACATGCGTCCCTCCTCCCCTCTTAAAAGTATTGTTAAGGGTTTGACTAGTTTTGCATAGTCTTTTATAAATCGGCGGTAATAACCGGAAAGTCCTAAGAATGATCTAAACTCTTTTCTGGTTTGTGGTGGTGGGAAAACACTTTTGAAGGGTTTGTCTTTCACATTTGTCAATTTGGATTTTCATATTAGCTTTTTCTAAAGTGTGGAATAATATTAATATTTTCTAAGTGTGATTTCTCATTTTGGCCGAAAATGATAATGTCGTCTATGTAGACAAAGCATATTTTTCCGATATACTCTCTGAGTATGTCGTTTAATACTCTTTGGAAAATTGATGGGGCGTTTTTCAAGCCAAAGGGTAATCTAGTAAATTCGTATTTACCATTATTAACTGAAAATGCTGTCTTTGCAACGTCAGATTCAACTAATGGAATCTGGTGAAAGCCACTTTTTAAGTCAAGAATTGTAAAGAATTTGTTTTTGCCTAATTGCGAAAGAACTTCGTTTATATCCGGGATAGGATAACGATCGGCTATCGTAATTGAATTTAATTTACGATAATCAATTACCATTCTGTATTTTTTTGTTCCGGATGCATCATTTTTTTTCGGCACTATCCAGATTGGAGAATTGTACGTGGATTGAGAAGGTCATATTATACCGGCATCGAGTAATTTGGCTATTAGTTTTTCCACTTCATCTTTGAGTGACATGGGATATGGGTGGTATCTCGAATATACTGGGTCTTGTGTGGTATTGTGTTCTTATTTCGCTTTTACTACGGTGGTGTATGTTAGCTTTTCCTCTGGTTCGAAAAAAAGTTTTGGGAATATATTGCATAAATTGCGAAGTTTTTCTGACTGTTCGGAAGTAAGGTGGTCTGTTTCAATTTTGATATTGTTGACTGATTTGGTTATTTGTTGTTTGATAGCAATTTTAATTTTGTTTTTTATTAGCATGTAATTTCTTGAGGTAAAAATTATTGTATCTAATTGTTTCAAACTATCATTACCGAGAATTCCATGGAAGGATTTTAATGTCGGAAGGATAAAAATTTTAGTTTTTCGTCTCTGGGTCCAAAAAGATTGATAAAGGTATGGTGGGTTATTTTTATATTGCCACCTATTGAGTTGGCAAAAAAAATTTCGTTATTGGGAATAGGATTATTGACAAGTTGTGGCTGAATATAATTTTAATTTGAACTTGTATCTATTAGGCATTTTAAAATTTCTCCGTTACTATCTTTGCACTGAAAGTAGGGCAAAGCAGAATTCGTTAGCCTAAAAAATGGATATCAGAAAATTTTATTGGCTCCCTGTCTGTCATGTTGTCCTGAGAAGGATATTGGTTATAATAAACTTCCCATGATTGTCTTGTATGTTCTTCATTTATTTGTTGTTGAGTGTCTCTTAAAGTATTGTCTGCGGGTTCTATGTGATTAATCCTATGTTGTTTAAATGGTTGGTGTACTTGGTTTGAAGGTGGAATTGGTCGCTTTCCTCCAAATGCGTTATTGTTCGGTCAGTTCATGTAATTGACTGCTCTTGTTTGTTGCGAATGGTCTATATCCATTGGAATTGGCTTGGGCTATGGTTTTGGTCTGTTCGGTCTTGGTGGTTGAAAATTTTGTTAATAATGTTGGTATTGTGGTCTACCGTATTGGTTTTGGCCGATAGGTTGTTCATTGAGGTAATTTTGTGACATATGGTGATATGGTTTTGTTTTGTTTTACGGAGTTGTTTGGTGATATGTTGTTATTTGTGGTTAGTATGCTAGTTGTGGATAAAATGGTTGTTTTTGAAACTGAGGTTTCCTTGGAGGTACTGGGGGTTGATACGTTTTACGGCTTGAGTTTTGGTTGTTGTATATGTATTGTGCTTTGTATCCTTGATTCTCCAATTTTAAACAGAGATGAAGGGCCTGTGGTAGGTCTTTTGGTTCCTTTATTCCTAGCAGTCTAGGAAAATCTCCATTGAGTCCTTTTATGAATGTATCTAAAGCTTTGTTCCTATAGGTTTGTGTTAAAAGGTGAAGGGCTTCGGGTCCCATTTCAAGACTCGATAAATTATTGAGAATAAGAGAAAGGTGATTGTAAATTTCTTGGTAAAACTCTGGGATAGTTTTCCGTCCCTGTACTAAAAAGGCTAATTGGCATTGAAGGGTAGTAATGTCTCGTTTGTCCGCGTAATGGATTGTTAGGCAGTGTGAGATAGCTTTCCAGTCAAGTGGGGTATTATACGATTCTAGGACAACCTCGGCGTTGCCTACAATTTTATTTCTAATGACGCTTAAGATACCGAAGTATTTTGGGGTACCTCTGATACCTTCGTAGATCTTAAGCACACGGTCTACACTTTTTCTCCACGAGTTAAATTCGCCAGGGTTGCCAGAGAATTCTCGCAGGCTTCGTATAATGTCGGGTATTTTGTCAAGATCGTCTAATCGTCCACGGTATTCTGGGTCAATAGTCTGGTTGATTTCGTTAGTCAGTATACTATTTGGGTTATTCGTTATGTTCTCTCTAAATACAATTTGCTTAACAATTCTACTGATAAGGCCTTCTAATTCGGGAGTTGTATTGGGATTTTGTGAAGGGGGAACATTTAGGTTTTGTGGAGGGGGTACGTTTGGACTTAAAACGGTTGGCTAAAAATGTTTTGATTTTGCATTTTTGTTTTAATGGTTGCTTTCTAACTTAAATGAAATCAATCAATAATTTAAGTTATTCTTTTTTTTCTTTTGCAAAGCAATTACTAATTTAAGTTATCAATCTCTGGTGGGTCCCTTTGGTGGTGAATCGCAGAGTTGTTTTGTGTTATAAAGCCGGAGGGTCCCCCTTAAAGATGGTGAATCGCGACTTTTAGATTTTTAATTTTTTTATTATTGGCTGTACAAGCCTTTATTTTATTGTGATAATTTATTTAAATATTTTTTATTAATTATTTTAGATCTACACTTCTTTTATCAATTTTAAATATCTTTCTTCTTCACTTTTTTCTTTTTTACTTCTAAAAACAATTTTTCTTTTCTTAGATATCTTTGTTTTCTTTTGTTATCTTTACTTTATTCTTTTTCACTTCTTTACTTTTAGCAAGAGCTTTTCTTTAAATTTAATTATTTCTATTTTTTTCTTTTTTACTTCTAAAAACAATTTTTCTTTCCTTAGATATCTTTGTTTTCTTTTGTTATCTTTACTTTTTTTTTTTTACTTCTTTACTTTTACAAGGACTTTTCTTTAAATTTAATTATTTCTATTAGATATCTTAACTCTATGCTTACATAATAATCAGTTTCCACTCCATGGCCGGTGACCGTGCCTTATTCCTTTTTCCTTTTGGTACTGAGGTGCACTCGTTCACTCCTTGATTCTTACTGTAGAAAAAGTCCGCTTAGCTGCTTATTTTTCCATTACGTTGGGTGCCAATTATGGAATTACGTATTTAAAATTAAAAAAAACTTAATTTTAGGGTCACTATGACCTTCTTTATTGAAGTATAAATTTCAACTCAGTTAAATTTTTGACTTTAGCCAAAAGGTAACTTATTCTACTTGTTATTTTATAAAATATTTTGCTGATTCGTTGATGCGGCGTCGGCAATTAGTATTTAACCGGATGCGTGTGCAGGTGCTATTGCTGAAGCAGCGTCTTTCGTTTAGTCAACTAGATTATGTTACATATGCAACTTTATAGTTTTTGTTACAATAGCTTATGCACATTTAGTTTACTATTCTATGTGTATCGTAAATATTTGTATACTCTTACAACATGTTGCTACAGAGTATAATAGTTTTGTTGTATTTATATTTGTATATACTGTAATTTATGTGTTTTCTTCGATATGCAGATTTTTTTCATATTCATATTACAATTCTTTTGCTTTTCATTGCGCTTGATATTTAGTTGACTTAAAATCCTTTCTCTTTAACTGATTATTTACATATGTATGTATATTTATGTATTAATGTACATGTGTCAAAAATATAATTTTCTATATTATTCTGTCTTATTGTAACAAAATCTTTATGTTCATGTTTTTATGAACAGTCGGAAATCACCAGACAGTAGTATTTTAATCGTTGCCATTTAAATCTTGCATTGTTCTATGCACTCATCTCAAATCATGATTGAACTTTTTCAAAACACTGCGGTTATTCCGCCATTTTTTATGTTACATATGTTATTGTATTTTTTTTAAGAAAAATATGATGATGAAAAATATGATAAATAATTCTTACACGAATTTTGAACATATGCTTATGATTTGAAATATAATATAATTTCTTTATTTATGAATTGTTTTGACTTTTAACATTTAAAAATAAAAAGTATTCTATGTCCGATCCCTGGTTCTTAGCTACCACCCAACCAATTTTCAGCCAAATCGGTTAAACCGTTCTTGATTTATAAATAGTCTACCAAACACGACTCTAATATATATATGTATATATGTAATATATAGATGTTGATTTTATATTCGTTTTTAGTAATTGTCTCATGTATGCAAAATTTTTATCCGCAGAGCGGACACTTCGAAATTTGTTATTCAAAATAAATAGTAGCCTTTTCCTTCCAGCGAACATTCTCTTGGTCTGAGGATAAGAAAAAGTCGATGGTGGTCAAATCCGCTTTCAGTGATTTGCCATCATCAAGGGTCATCTATGATAAAATAATGTGTTGTTTTTTGACATTAACCACCATAACAGCCTCCGTATGAGGTCCATTGCCTTCATCGTCTTCGGTGTTCATATGGCCTGTATGGAATCTAGCCAACAGCTTCCGAAAAGCACAGCAGCACTTTTTCATCTTAAATGTTGTTTTATGAACACATGGCTTTAAATGCAGTTTTTTCAAAATTTCACAACTTGCATTACTCAAAATGCAAAGCTGTGACACTTGTCTTGGTTGGTTAGCTATTAAATAGAAGGATTAAGCAACGTGTTGTTAGATTTAGCAAAAAGATTACAAATATACATAGTATAATATGAAATAAAAGGCAGCATACATTACTAGAAATAATATTAAAAATAAAAGAAAGGACGAGAATTTGTGAGTTTACCTACAACTGGAAAACGCAGATCTATTGCAACATATTGAAGTCAAGAAACATTCAGAATAGTTAACCAACACTAATATCACAAACTTTTATAAAATTGTAATTTTTTTTAAAAAGTGGTCCACAAATTAGTTTAGTTACAACTAGCAATAGAGATGTTTGAGAAGTGATTACGCAGTATCCTTACTGTCTTCTAAAATGCATAAAACAACCGTTCAGATTGGTTCATTTACACTGCGCCAGTTAAGGAACGTATTACTTAATATATAACAATATATCACCAAAATATCCTAAGCAAACAAACATCAAAGCAACATTATGTTTGAATGAAGATAATGTATCAAAACAACATTAAACAAAATACGTCAAAACAACCCATTCCTAGAACAAAAGAAATGTATTAAAACAAACAATATGTTATACAAGTATGTATGTAAAAAAACTATCAACTGGTAATAAGTAAACACACTAGTTAGTATAAATAGCAATAAGATCTATGTAAAAAGTTAGTCTTAAGAATATCAATAAAGAATACACATTTCGGTGCAGCTCAAAAGTATATTTTTAAAGACTCATATCGTGTAAACGATATTAACTCGCGCGATTACGATAACATCGAAAAAGTTAATTAAACAGTGTTTGAAAAACGTCGTGTTGGCATCAGAGAGACAGAGTATCTCAGCATCTCTTATGGATCGTCACAACATATTTGGTTTATGTTTTGGGTACCAAAAGACCTGAATCTTTTGCGAATCGACGTCGATTAGAAGTCGCAAAAGGATGCTTGACAACGGAGCTGAGGAGTCCGGGCCAAATTTGATGATAAATATAAAAAAAATCAGATGATATATGTACAAAATTTGAATTCAGTTACCAGATGTATCCAAGTTATAAACAAAACTCAAACTATATTTCCATATGAGTAGTTTTCATATTATATCGTTTCCTTCTTCTGTAAACATATCAAAAGTGATGTTATGAGAGGTATATTTGAAAGGGTGAGATAGAACCAACTTATTCCTTTTGCCTTACTCAACTTGGAAGAAATTAGTACAATTGTCTAAAGCAGCTATATGCCCACGAGAGCGAAGCCAGCAGTTTTTGTTCAGACGACGTACAAGCTTTAATATCAAAACAGGATACACAGTACGCTAAGGTATGTTTAACAATGAATAGGAAATAGATTTTGTCAACTATGGTTTAAATTAAAATTAATAAAAAAAAATACACAACGGACAAGCAACATCTATTTGGAAGTATTCTCGAGTCAAAGTCTCAAGTCAAACAAAAAGTAGATATACAACTGTGAATGTGAAAGGTCGATTTGATTATAAAATGTAAATTCCTTATTTACTCTTCCAAATTAATTTCATCTCCTTCAAAGTAATATCCGTTCTTGAAACAGTCGAAATAGTATTTTTTCAGTATAACCTTCAATACCTTTTTCTATTCGGTTTTTATCAATCGTATTAAAACGGCGTCCGTGCTTGGATCTTGAGTTTTCTGAATAGCTAGAAGTAACACGGAGCCAAATCAGGAGAATGCGTAGTTGTGGAACGATATTTTTGGCAAAAATAGTGAGGTACTATTAATATGTGTATGTTTGGTTGATCAGCTTGCTTGCCATTCGATTATATTACGGATTTAATTTCTCGGTTAGGTAAGTATATCGTTTAATATTTAAAATATTTCTATTGCAATACATTTTATATTTTTGAAAAAAAAACTCTTTTTTGGTAATATTCATAATTATTTAATTAATGTGGGACGAAGAAATACGAGCATGTGGACTGGACGATGGGACGAAGAAATGCGACCGTCCGGACTGCACATTTTTGATATACGACAACACTGACTGGACGAAAGGAACGCCACGCTAACAGACGAGAAACCGGCACTAACATATAGATAACAGACAACGAAAGTCAGAAAGCTGAAGTAAAGTGAAATATTAGAAGCGGACTGAGAAAGAAATCAAGGTGTAATATAGAAATATGGAAGAAATCTATTAAATAATTTAAGATGTAAAAGTGTGAATCAATCTATAAATATATTTAATAAAACTTAATAAATACATTTAATATAATAAAATAAATACAAACAAAACTTTTTACATTAAATATAATGAAACTCTCATTCACCACAGAAATGGTTATTAGATAGGTAACATTGGTCTATAGAGATTTTGTTGGCCTCGATATAAAATCAATTTAGGATATATTTGTGACCACAGTTCATGAAACTATCAATGAATTTTTAAGATTTTCTATGGTTTATGAAATTATAGTAAATAAGAACCGTTTTGTTTTCAAGGTGATTCTAATTTATGGAAGTTTTCCATTTATATATACTCAAAAAAAATTAAATACATTTACTTCAAACAACTACAATAAAATTCTTATTTTTTTAATAAAAACAAGAAATGTTCAATGCTAAGAAAATAATAGATGAACTATTACTTTATTAACAAATATTATTAAAATCTAAGACTCTTTGTGAAGTTATAATGAAGAGGATTATTAAATCCTTGAAAGCTCTTTGATTTTTTGTGGGCCGAGCCACAATATAATATATATCACATTCTTATAAAACATTACAACATGGCAACACTATGTCAGCAAGTCAGCTGATCCTGGCTTAGAAGGAACTCTGATACGAATAGGACACAAAGCGGAACAGCGAATACATAGTCAGCGGTTAGAGCAGTGGTTCTCAAACTTTTTTAATGACGGAACCCTTTTGGGAAGCAAAATACTTGATGGAACCCTACAATAAAACAATTGTTTTTATAAGTGTATTCTTTATTAATCAGCATAATAAAAGTAAAATGTAACAGTGACTAATTATTATTTACTTCACCACTTGGCAAGGACGATAATAGAAACTCTAACTAGTGGGAGGTATGAAACTGTTTTTTATTTTTCATCAATTGGTTGATATCAGGTTTGATGGAAGAAAGTTGGAGTCTCATATCAGCTTCGGCGCCCAGTCTATTGCGATATTTTGTTTTTGTGGCTGCATAAGTAGAAAATCCTGTTTCGCACAAATATGTAGTTGGGAACGGGAGAAGAATATCCAGAGCCATTTGGCCAAGCATTACATATTCATCTTGGATTCTGCACCAAAAATCATTGGGAGGCGTCGTTTTGAATAGTGACTCCATACTTGTATCGGATGACATTTCTAAAAGAGATTCATATATCTCGTTTGACATGTTTTCAGGCTTTTCCAAATTAGGTAAAAAAGGATTATGAATCCATGAATTCACTTTAATTTTTGTATTGTGTTCTTCGGGAAAATACTTTTCAAAAGATGCGCGCAACGAACTGAGATAATTGACCAATTCTGCAAACATAACATTTCTAAGTCGTTTTCGCTTATAAACTCACTGAGTAACGTAAAGCTTTCTATTTTTTTCTTACCAATGCAAATGATCCAAAAATCTAATTTTCTTTTAAAAGCAGTTATTTTATTATAGGCCTGAAACACTGTTACCTGTTTGCCTTGCAACGATAAATTCAATTCGTTAAGTTTTTGAAAGATATACGCCATAAAAGACAATCGAAACAACCAATTTTTATCATACAAACGGTCCTTCAAATTAAAAGAAGTATCTGCTGAAAGAAACATTTGTAACTCGGCTCTGAGTTCAAATAGCCTTGTTAAAGTTTTACCCCGAGACAGCCATCGCACTTCTGTATGGAGCAGCAGTGTTTTATGTTTGCTGCCATAATCTTCACACAATAATGAGAACAATCGGGATTGTAGTGGTCGTGATTTGATAAAATTAATTATTTTTACAGCTTCATCCATAACTAATTTTAGATTTGACGGCATTTGCTTCATCGCAAGTGCTTGTCTCTGCAGAATACAATGACTGGAACTACAATTAGGTGTTTTATTTTTAATTCGTGACACTGCTCCTGCTGTTCTACCTGTCATCGCCTTGGCCCCATCTGTACAAATGTCAATACAATGAATCAAAGAATATATTTATTTTATTAAAAATTTCTTCCCCGGTAGTGTTTGTAAGCAGCGGTGAACACATAAGCATGTCTTCTTCAAAAGAACTTTTATATGGATATCTCACAATAACCAGCAGGATAGCCAAACCAGCGACATCAGTCGACTCGTCCATTTGCAAGGCGAATCGTGTATTTTGTAGACGTGTAACTAGTTCTTGTTTGACGTAGCTTGCCAGATCATGGATTCGTCGGGAAACAGTATCGTTTGATAGCGGAACAGTAGATAGATGCTTTGCAGATTTTTCATCGAGCATACATTTTGTTATGTCTAATACACATGGTTTTATTAAATTCTCAGCGATAGTGTGCGCTTCACCTGCTTGTGCAATGCGATAGCTAACTAAATACCTATGATGCCTCCGTGGCCTTTTCGTTGATAGTTTGTGTTACATGCATCATATTTTTTTGACTTTCTAATAACTGATATTTTTTGCGAACAAAAAATTCTTTATTCTTGTCTTTAGACTCGGGGTGTACAGTTTCTAAATGTCGGCGCAATCCGAAACTGATATAAGATTCATCATACTTCTCGTTTTTGAAACCGTCAAGCTTGACGTCGAGGCATCATCTTCTGAATCGGTGATTGCTATATTCTCCGCGCGCACTGCTTTTGAACATTCAGCGTTATTAGAAGATGTTGTTGCAACACGTTTAACACCTTTAAGCCAACGTTTCATTCTTCTTTATTTATAATGTTACACGTCAGGATAGTGGGGTTTAAATAATGCACAATCGTTACTGCGTATAAGAGACTAAATTTAGCACCTACTGTGAAGAAATGTACCGATAAAACTGAAACAACAGAAAACAGCAGGCAGTAAAACAATGAACACTAGTTTCTCGCTAGCGAACTTGTAAGTAGGTAGTAACTTATCGCTCCGAACGCTAATCGTCAACTGACGACGCGCGACGCGCAATCGCCGCTTTTATACTTAGTCCTAGACTCGATCTCGCATATTCTCAAAAATACTCGAGTCGGCACCTTTGATAAACAAAAAGCAAAAATAAAAATAAAAACAAAAATTTAAAAATTGCGTTGAAACCAATATCGACTTTATCCTTTAAAAGTTAGAGGCGAAAGTCGCTTGTTGACAACTATAGCGCTAATTCAGAGGCGGCTTTTATCAAAGAAACTGCGCGCTCACAAGTATATGGTACAAGGTGTGACCTATCGCCAGCGGCAAACTTAAGTACGTTCGAAAAGTAGCGTCATTCGTAAAACATAATACAAAATATTTTTTATTTAATTGTAACAACAAAAATTGTGTATGTATTTGGGTAAAACTATGACACATTATAAGTTTTGTTGTCTAATGGGGGAGGGTATGCGCATTCCACAGACCGGCAAACTTAGAGCGAACGGGTTGTACAAGTATAAAATTGTTGATACCAAACT